CTGCAGATAAAGGTTTCTTTAATCTTAATTGAATATAGTGCTCAGCACATGGTCACAGTCACAGTCTGCAAAAATAACCCTGTGGAAGGCACTGAAGGTGTTGGGTTTAAATGACTTGGGTATCTACGAGCAGAATGAGGATTGCAAGACAATATCAAGTAATATCATAGGAAATGCAAGATTTGGTGTTTTTGGACCTTGACCCATACTCAGTAGGCCTACTTAGAACCATTATTCATGTAATTCCCCCATTTTCATAGAAGTGCTTTAATAAATCATTGGAGTGGCTCTTAAAATGACAGATGTCTCAATAAGTTTCACCCAGAGGATGACCTACAGTAAATGGGTACTTGTTGAAGAAAGAGTGGATAATAAATATGCATCTTTAGTAGACATTTTGATATTCATTCATGTCTGAAAGAGGACATATTATGCTTTTCTGTATCTTGTGTTTTATACATTGGGACAATGTTGGATGTTAATATTAAATGTGGCCAAAGTTTCCAGTAAAGAGGTAAACATCAGAGGAGTAATCCCTGTGACCAAAAAACGAAGGTTTCCTACCGTTCTGAACGCTCTGTTTCCAACTCGGGAAAACATAAAAACTTAGTTACTGATATCGGAAATTTCTCCATGATTTTGGATTATATTCCTGCTGGAACATGTGTAGTTGCATTAAGAGTTTTTTTTCCATAGTTAAAGAGTGTCATTATTCTCTATTACAGCTGCAGGTACACCACTAATGGAATGTTGCTACATGCTAACATCAAGGAAACCTAATCTTGTTAGCTGATGCTGTAAATTTCTCTCAGATTTCAGATCACATTCCTGCTGCAACGTGTCTGCTTGTTTAGGAGCTTTAATTAGTGAATTTTTTCCATGATAAAAAGTGCCACTATTTAGCTGCAATGATGGTTCAGAGGCTTTGACATAGGGAAGACCTGGAAACACTGACCAATAGATGGATGCCAAAACAAAGCGTCTTAGACAGAGGGTGAGTGCAGGTGAATGCATAGACTAATAAAATTCCATGTGTGTAATCCTATGTGGCATGAGGTTTTGTGATGGAATGATATTAAATTAATTCATATATTAGTAGCCAGTGTTGTAATTAATTTCTAATGAATTCACTGACACTGAAATACATGTAAAAGCATTTGTCATATTGCCGGGGGACCCAGCAGCCTGTTTAAAGGCCTCAGTGGCCTGCTAGCTACAACACTTTAAACTCATGTGCATCATGTCGCTCAGCTTTAACTGTCACAGATGGCTAAATGTTGCGTTCATATCAGCCGCAGAGTGAAATGCAGTCTTTCATCCTCTTTATGTCATCACCGTCTCATTTCACTATGTGAGAACGCACACATCAACATCATAAAGGCAAATACTGCTGTGTTTAAAGTGATTCTAATTGTTCTCACTGCTACATTCACAAGCACAATCCCCCACGTTGACTTTAATTAATACCCATTTGGGAGAATGTGTTGTTCCAGTTGAGCTGTCTCCGCTATAAATTCACCAAACAGACTCTATATCAGGCTGCTTGACAACTGTTTACTTTGCAAGTAGATCAAAAAGCGATGCATGGGGCTCTTTATGTGCGGATTAGCAAGCTGGAGAAAATGCGAGACAAGTGATATTGGCAGCGTTGATCTTGGCAAGGAAAAAGACCCCAGAATTGCTTTTGGCATACACGAAGGTGTTCCTAGACACTGCAAATGTGCACATGAACACTGTTTCTATATAAATGCACACACACACAGGCACAATAATGTGTTTTTCATTTCAACATTTGCTGTGTGCCTAAATGCGTCATGCCTCCATATCACCATGACAACGGAATAGTGGCTGACTATTTGACCAGTTTTCTGTGTGTATGTGTGTGTGTGTGTGTGTGTGTGTGTGTGTGTGTGTGTGTTGGTTCTCATTGGTTTTCACTGAGCAACAACACATCATCCAAGTCCATTTCACAGTATTATTGACAGTACTGACAATTTACTATCACTTTTACTTATACAGCTGTGTTTATATAATCTCACATAGTGTGGTAGTCCAATTAGTTTGTCCAGTTAATGGATTATCAGGGAATTGGGTGTAATAATAAAAAATCAATCCCATGACCAAAATCAACCAATTGAATAAATAAAAAAATAAAAAAATGTATCCACTAATGATTATTGTGTGTGTATCAAAACCTAATATATCTTCTGCCTCTGAGCCTCGGAGCCTTATTGTTGTCCAGAAAGCATTAAAAACATATCAGTTAGCCACACTGTTGCACTGGGAGACACGTTCCTTCATTAACTAACCCACTGTAGTTTATTTTGACTCAATCCCACCGAGCATCCTCCTATTGATAGGATATCAGTTGTGTTGTATTCAACCAAATAAATTCTTGGTTGACCTCAGCTAGTTGATGGGTAGATGGGGGGGGGGGGGGGAATTACTACACGTTATCTCTAGATTAAAGACTCTCTGAGTCTTCCTAAGCTTGAAAAGTTTTTGTCACATACAGCAATTATCTCCTCACAATCCACTAGCTACATGTCCTCCAAATATGCTGTGAAAAAGTCCGGTCTCTGTAGGCAGCCCAGGCTCCGCAAATGGCAACAAAACACTGTGGTCCAGGCTGCACCAAACAACCAACGCGAGACCAGCGAAAGCAAGCACACACACATGAACACGGTGCCCATGTCTCACGGTCTCATGCAAGCGTGAACGCGGTGCCCAGAGAGGCAGTTAGAGCTACAGGCTATAATGAGGCTAAAAGGCAAGCTAGCTCTGTTGTTTTTGATAACACTGTTGAACGTAAACAGAAGTCAAGTGTTTTTGTTGCCATTTGCGGAGCCTGGGCTGCCTACAGAGACCGGACTTTTTCACAGCATATTCAGAGGACATGTAGCTAGCGGATCGTGAGGAGATGTTTGCTGTATGTGACAAAAACTTTTCAAGTTTAGGAAGCCTTTAACTAAGTTGCCACATTGCACTGAGTGCACACTACCTGATTCAATTTTGAGAGCGGAACGAGTCACTTTGAGGGGGTTGTGACGGTCAAAAAAATTTATCCACTGTTTTATAGATGTCTCTTCTCAATGTAAATCTATGGGAAAAGTCTTTTTGGGCCCAATGGCACCATGTGACGGACCGTGGAAATGGCAGTACCACTGTTTGGCGACTATGAAAATTGGCTTCAAATCCCAACATACTTCCTGGGGGCCTGCTTTATCCGAATTTGGATAGAGGACAGGAAGGGGGCGTGGTTTCATTTCTGTTGCATTTCTGTAACTTAAAATTCATTGGCAATAAAACTGTTGTGCCTTCAAAGCATCTAATTGATTTAATTCAATCAAATTAAAGAAATATCTGCCTATCTCCATTTCTCTATCTTTTTCTTCTTTAGAAGTGTCTAAAACAGCACGACCAACACTTTAACGGGGGGACGGTCAGGTTTATAAATCAAAAGATTTTATTTTGCATTGTACACAGAAACTAATTACAACAAACATATATAGAATATATATCCCTCAATTGAAGGGAACAATCCTAAATTTTGACAATGCTGCATTTGAGTTTTATTTGTATTTCTACCATGTTATTTTAAATGGGGAAAGAACACAGACTATAGCCAAAAACTACATCTCTTATGCTATATTTTGATGTATAGGTTGCAGGGGTTTGAAAGAAATCCAGCTGCCACACTAGGCTTTTGTCTCACTACTCCCGAGTTTACCTGAGTTATAGCCGGGAGCTATGATGCACACTGGGTTGAGCATTCCAAGTAAGTTAGTAATAACTTACAGAAACACCCCAGCCTCTCTCAGTCCCCGTCTCTCATACAGACACACGCCTTTGAGAGCACAACAGCTCTATCTCTGTCCTTGTCTCAGTCTCATAAAGTCAGCTCTTGAAGAGTCTGTGGGTGCAGTTTTAAAAGTCCCTGACCCACACCTCACTTGCGGTCAGCTCTCAGCCCGCTCCCTGCTGTGTGGTGTTAGGGTTACTTAGCCTTATGTTACAAACAGAATGTGTTTTTATCTTGCGCTCATCCACAGGGTTATGAATCGACCAGAAGAAACATAATGGCAGACACACAGACATGTCAGTCACATTTTTTTTGTCCCCCACATATCAATTTTCAACTTTGGGTATAATAAATATCTGTTAACTTATTGGGATTCAGGTTAATCCCTAGTTTGTATGGATCATAGTGCCTACTGGTCAGAGGTCATAGGTCTTTCATCTCCTACTTACCACTATTTACCACTGCGTCACCAGTTGCAATAAAATCATGAACTGCAGTTTTTCTTCATTCTTGCAATTACCCAAACACTGACTAAGCAGTGGAGTGCATATTTTCAGCTGAGTCATTTTTCCAGTTTGAAGCCCAGAGCTGTTGATTCCATATGTTGCCAGCTTGTTTAGCCCACATTACTTTGAGAAAATCTCGCAGAAAAACTGCAGCGTGGAGTTTTATTTCTATTGGTTATTTTCATCAGTTTTAAAATTTTATTAAAACTCGGTCGTACTTCTGCACATAAAGGTGCTGCTCCCAGCAATAAAATATTTGAATTCAGCAGTTGCTGGGTTGCATAGGGGCAGGTCTATGTGAAACGCCAGTATACATATAATCAGAGGCACTTATTAGAATCTCTGTTTTGCTTGTATTCAACTGCAGGAAGTGTTGAGACACCCTCTTATGAATTAATAAAAAAATAATAAACACTGCAGGTTATCATAGACTTTTTCATAGATTCACCTTTAATAATTTTGCAGTATCTTTCTACATAAAGTACAGAATTCATTGATACATGTATGTCTTTTTTTTCTTACTACACGTCATCGTGTTTTGCCACAGATAGACATTCCAAGAGAGACAGCGTCATCAGTAGCTTAACAATCTTAGTTGTTAATTTTGAGGGAGATGTTTATTGAATTTGAACTGAGGGTTTATTCTCTTTAATGTGTCCCCCAGCCTAACTCAATGTTTCTGTCTCTCACAGATGCAGATCTACATGTACAACTCAGATGACTTTGACAGTCTCAGTGCAGCTCTGAGGGAGAAGAGGATCATCGCAGCCATGGCCGTGTTTTTCCAGGTAGGAACAGCTTTTTTCCCCGAGCCTGTTTGTGTATGTGTGTACACGTATTTTTTAAAAAAAATGAGGCAGTGGCCAGTTTGTGGGATTTGGATTTCGTGGTTCATGGTTTGAGGGTTCAGCCCAAAATTAAACTTCTGTCATTATCTGTTTATCATTGTGCCAGAGTTTATTTGTTGTCTGTGACAACTAAACAAAACGCAGAGAGTGAGCTTTCATAGTTCCGTCTCATTATCTAACAAGGGAAATCTAGGCCATGTGGACCCTCAGTGCAGCTGCAGGGCTTAGTGTTTTGATGTTCTTTTTTGAAAACCTCATTTAGCTAAAGTCTATCAGATGGACGTGGACTGCAGAGACTCAACTGATGAAGAGGGAAGAAATGATGAAATATCCTCCATTTAGGGACGAGCTGTTCTGCAAAAGTTTGAATTGTAATTGGTTCATACATTCTCTGGGTTTGACTGAGCACGAATACATTGATCAAAATTAATTAAACAATGTGGCTGAGGGATGGTTATTAAAATAAGGGGACTCTGTTTAAATGATCTATAGCACATGGTCTAAAGTGCTTTTAGGTTGTGTCCAACTCTACTTTGCTAGTTAAATGGTGCATAATCTGGGTACAAAGTAAGGCGCTGTGTTAGTTTCTTAATTGATCATAGGTGTGTTTTGGGCTTAACATGAATTTAACCAAGTGACATCTCCCATTCCCTTTAAAAGCCAGATGTGTCTGCACCTGCCACACTGCTATCTACATGGTGGATTCAGCAAACTGGAGCAGTGAGCAGTTTTCTGTTGAGAGTAATGCAGTAAGAGGCACCTACCTGCACAGTTTTGTGTGTGTACACATGTTGTGATCCTCCTGTCTGAATATTGGCCCATACACATGCCATGATTTTTGCACCCTCAAATCCATTGTTTTCAATAAAGAGGCAGAGAAGGCGTGCTCAAAAGCGATGCTGTCATGGCACACAAGCACTCCCAAGCACCTATGTTTCAGTAAGCAGTGGCTGCTCCCTGAGATAAACAAAGTTCAACTTTTGGAAAACAGCAACACGTACTGCAGGTCATGTGACAAGGAACAACCAATTACAGCTGATAAATGGCTTGCTTTTCTGCCATAAATATCAAATACAGAAAAGAAGTTGTTTGTATTAGTGCAGGGCTCCCCAGAGCTTTACACCTGTCCCACAGACAACATTTTAGGCCCAGCTCTGAATTTGGGATTTCTGGTTAGCAGGCTATGACACAGTGCTAGTTATGGTTGCTCAGCAACTTCAGACGTCTGCGTCTGCAACTTTAAAAGTTGGCACAGAGTAGGAACAAGACAAGCAACCACCACGCTACCTCACGTATTTCCAGACAGTGAAAGACACGGAATGCATCCTGGCCCATATGTGCCATTTGAATAGTGTGAAAATACTGCGCCATTCTGACTGTAGACCAGGTTTTTGTTGGTCAATGGCACATTCGCTTCCTGCTGCCACAAAATAGTGGAAGTGCATTTGCTGCTGGACTTGGAAATGATTGTGTCAGTCGGAAACTAGCAACAACAGTTGTGCCACTGTACCTCGCTTTGCGGCAGGTGGCAGATAGGTACCAGAGACTTGGGCAAACAAGTCGACTTTTTTAAGATACTGAAAAAAAAAAAAAAAAAATGTGGCCAAAGGTTAGTACCTTAAATGGAGCAATGAACTGTGGGTGAAAAACTGGATAAAAGATGTTAACATTAATTTCACCCAATCAATATTCATTCATTCATTCATTCTTCTTTTTCTTCTTCTTCTTATAGAAATAATTATCCAATTTATTTTATTTAAATTAATTAAAAATAATGCAGTAACTCACTCAGCAAGTTTTCTTGAATTTATGCTTGATGAGTTCTTTTGATAATAGTTATGTAAAATTGCGCCTCAGGATCTAAAACATATTGAACTTATTACACTAAGTTTGGTAGGTAAAAAAAAATATTTGAGCAGAGTTAACATTTAGCGTGGAGTGAGATGAGGACTGCAGTAGGTTTAAGGTCAGAGGTCAGTGTGTGTGGTTGTATACTCCCCTCACACTGTGTACTGCTTGTTATCTCTCTCAGTTTTATTTTATCAGTTGGTTTTTCCAGGAGCTAAAAACCCTGACTTCTGTGTCTGCATGTTGTGATGGTGTGTGAGTATGAGCCATAAAATCTGTAGATCAAGATCAAAGTCCAGCCACCAATAAAGACCTCTCAGGCCTGTTGAGTGGAGCTGTGGGTGGACTGGGATCATTGTCAGCTCTATCACTCTCAATTGGCAGGAATAAAAAGTTCATTTGAGGCCATCGATTACCTAAGTGGGCTTTTACTCGGACCATTAACCCCCAGTTAATATTTCCCTCTCTCACTTCAGTCTCTCTCTCTCTGTCTGTCTGTAGTCTCTCTTTCACTCCCCTCCTCTCAGACTCATATGTCTTGTGCGGACAAACATATGCTCACGCTTGTACAACTAAATCATAAAGACATCTCTCTGTTTCTCTATCTATCCCAGAACAAATGATGGGAAGTAAAATATGTTTACATTACAAGAAGATGAAAGATAAGAATTTGAATAAATAGATACTATAAAGTAAGCCCAAAGCAAGAGATTAATGTGAACAATAAGATTTTTTCTTTCGCAGTTTTTTAAGGGTTTTTTTTTTTTTTTTTGAGAGCTCTTGTCCTGAGGAAAGGTCAGTGGGATCTTCTATAATTCTCTAGAGGACAATATGTTGACAAAATAATAAGTAAGCAATTGGTATGGATAGATCTGCAGTTATAACGAGACAGAGGAGATGAGTAGACAGAGCGTCGAAGCTGCCGGAAGAAATGGCAGAAAAAGTCTGCTTTATTTTGAAAAGAAGCCAAAAGTGCTACTTTCCCTAACAGATAACTCCAGTTATCCTCTGGTATGGGAGACATTCTATCTGTTTTTTTGGTTCTCTTTCCCTCCACCACCCTTCTGATTTATGATATAGCAGTACGCACACATTTCCTCTGAACCTGGTGATGATATTGTGCAGTTGCAGCTCGCAACTCAAAGATTGATTTGAACCCGGTGCCCTCAATAACTTGGCTCTCGCAGATAGATCTCGACAGGTTGTGCTCGTGTGTTTGTTCCTATGCAAAGAGAAGTGTGTGTGGGCGCCAGCCTCAAAAGTGCATTTTTCTTTATTCATCCAGATGCTACTTGTTCTCCCACTCCGCACACATGCTTCAGTTTTTCTTGGGTGACCTGAGAAGGCAGGCTCTATCTGTGTGTGATTGTGAGTGTGTATACAGGAGGCCAATAGTTTTATTGTTTTTACAGAAAACGCACATATTGTATGATGCATGTCAAACTGAAACTCAGCACCAACATATTCAAACACCTCTCAGAGGATCTGTGTAGATCAGGTGTTTGCATTGATGCATTTTTATTATATGCTCTGTTGGTTCAAACACAGCATCTATGTGAGTTTGTCACTGCGTGTGGATAAAGTGTGTTTCTCTGTTGCAGATTTTCATCACTCGAATAGCTTTTGTTGTGTAAGAAAAAAACAACTGTACATTTTAACTTTGTGAGCTACTATTGCTGTGTGTGTGTGTGTGTATGAGAGAGAGAGAGAGAGAGAGAGAGAGAGAGAGAGAAAGAGAAAGAGAGAGAGGGACAGTCTCCTGAGCCCGCTTGTGTTGACGCTGATGAGTCCTGTTCAGAGAGAAGTTCTTCTGGACTGATGAGCTTAAATGTGTCCTCTGCCAGGCTGTACTATACTACAGCAGCCTCCCACACAGCACTCCTCAGGGACAGTAAAGACTTAAAACTTCAGTGTGTGTGAGCTAAGACATTTAAGCTTAAGGGTTTGTTTTTTTCATCCTTTTTCCAAATAAAATGGCAGAATTGGAATTTTTTTTTTAAAAAGTGATGAAAATAATCTTTTTTTGTTGTTGTTGTTTTTCCTTTACAATAAACAAACATTTAACTGCATTTTGATGTCAGCAGATACACTTTTCTTATCCAAAAATTTCAAGCTGGTTTACCTTCACACTGCTGAGTAGGGCTCTATTTTTGTTAACTCGGCAGCGCAGCACAGATTGCAGTCAACTGTGCCCTGCTCAGTGTGCCGGGGGCGTGCCAAGCACATTTTTGGTAATGTTGTGGGTGGGCTCATCTGGCGCACCTGTGGCACACATGCATACATGATGGGGTAGTTTGGCATGTCAGAGAATCACTTTGCCAGAATAAATTTAGGCTTTTGTATTTGCATAGTTGTATGTTGGGGCCACGCTGTCTATGGTACTGAAACTGATGGATCGATAGAAAGACGGAAGAAGTCAGAAAAAAAGAGAGAAGGAGAGAGAGACCTGCAAGCTGCAAACAGCCGTTTCTATGGAACTGTTTATAAGTTCATATAATATCTTCTCTGAATAATAAATGTATTATTTGATTTTGAAACAATAGCTTTACGCTGTTATTTAGCCTTTCCGTAGCTGTTTCATGGTTAACGGTTGATTAGCTTTCTTTAATGGGGGAAGAAAAATGCCCCCTCGCAATTTTTAACAGCTCCCTCGGTCCCTTCATCCTGGCGCCTTGCCTGGTAAAGCCATAGGTAAAAGCATATACAGATAAAGTGACAATATGACACTGAAGAGACAAAAGCCATTTACTGATACCACCATAGTACCATATATGTAACAAAGGTTAAATTTAAAATGCCTCTTTAAATCTGAAATTATTTTTAGTTTAATACAAATCAGTTTGACTGTTTCATATGCAAAATTAACTGCTGACAATATGGGGACAAATAGTCGTCTTCTTATTACTACACTAACTCAAAAATACAGTTGAATTTGGATTTTTAAACTAACAAATAATAACAATAACAGATAATAATTTCTTGGAGCATCACTGTAAAATCTAACCCAAACAATCTCATCCCATTGTGTTAGTGATCACAGCAACACGTCTAGGGGAGCACGGGCAACCTCCTAACGTAGGGTAAATTGTAAC